TTTTTATTTTTTTTTAAATTTCTTCAAAAACATTTAACAAACCCTCACACTTCAATTGTCCTTTACAGTTATGAAAATTCAAAAAGGTGTATGTTGTTCGGCATTATATGCCTTTAGCATAAGTATATGATAATCGATGAATAATATATTGTATATTGCATACGTTTGAGATGCTTGTGATGGTTGAATGAAGTCGGTGACGGAAGGAATGTCGAGAGAGAATTTCTGTTTACTACTGCTACGGGTCGCTATAGAAACATCGAGATCGCCAGGTTCGGTGTCTGACAGCTCGGTCTGAGTTTCTTGAGCCATTTCAGCTTCCTTTTGCGTTTTCCAACGGTTCCAGTTCGCGTCCAAAAGTTCCATCATGTGCGATGAGAGTGTACTTTCAAGAAACCGGTGCCATTCCGAAAAAAGAGGCGCGACAACATGCTCAAAGAAACCTGAAACAGAAATTTTTATTCCATTATTATCAAACAAAATACGTTTTACTTTTTTTTTATTAATTTTCTGAAATTCTGGGACTCTATTGAGTAGGTTTCAGATAGTTTTTTTTCGTTACCTGTTTGAATTTTCGCAACTGTAGTCGACTGCCTATCACACATAAGAGTGACAGGAAGGTTCAATTGACGCTCGTACTCTCCCTGCCTGAAAAATTCATCACAGACTTTTAGGCTCCACTTTTTGGAAATTTCCCACGGTCTGGTAGGATTGGAAATGTCAGCACACTTGAGTGCTATTTGCAGTATGAACAGTCTATTTTCGGCCACCGTCAGGTCTAACGTATCCTCATCTAGATGTTTCTAAAATAATACAATAATAAATGATATCTGTTTACTTAATTACAATTCGAAAGTAATATGTTTACTATGTAACATACATATATATGCCAAATTGGTAACGGGCAATACAACTCAATTTTTAGCATCTTTTAGTTTACGATGTTTACTATCAATGTTAATTATTAATAATTACCGTGAGGTAATTGCCATGCATAATAACTTGACGGCAAATATGTATGTAAGTTTCGCAAATTAATACAAAAAATTGAATTGTCTGCAAAAAGACAATTAAACAAAGTAAAAAATTAGAAACAGTAAATATTTATTTCCTTTACACTTATTAGTATGAACGCAAATATTTGAAAATGTTTAACGCTTTTATGTTTATGATGTTTTTTGGTTTCGAAATTATTTGATTTTATAAAATTTAAAAGCTTCACCTTCAGAAATGTTTGTTGCTACTGATAGATAATTTAGCATATTTATTTTTTGTAAATTACAAATTTGTAAATATTTATTTGCGCCGAATAAAGGTGGAATGTTTAATTTAATTATTACTAGGCCAATTTTTCAAATTTAATGAACAAATTTTGTATACTTAATTTAATTAATAACGTTTTGCTCTAAAATTTCTCACACCTTTAATATTGATTCATTAGAACGTGATGCACACAATAAAATATAAGATCATTAAAGGATTATGAAAAACTCTCATTTCTTGTTTTTTGTATTTAGCACAATTTTTAGTACAAAATAAAAATATTTCGACGTTTTTAAGAAAGACGTCAAAGGAAGCCAAACGACTTGTTCAGTAATTTTGGTGAGAAACAGGTACATATTTGGTCAATATCCACAATAGTTTGACGATTAACTATTTAATAATATTTTAAATTCGCATAAATTATGTTGCGATTCTAAAAGTAATTATTTTAAGGCAAAAAGACGTCACCAATTCTTTTATCTCTAAAAATGTTTTAATAATAAATTATTACGTAAACAAAAAAATGTATTCGTAGTTTTACCGTAAATCAAGCGTGTTTTTATGCATTATCTTATAAATACCTTAATTAATAAATTCTTTACAAATAGAAAAAGCAAAAAAAAACTACAATTTACTTTAGTGTTTTATAATTCACTTACGGGTGAATTAGTAGTGAGTAATGCATAAAAAGATACAATATATTAAATAATAAACGTCATTTGTACCATAAGGATTCTTTCCTTTTTTTTCTGGTTCAGAATCGTACTAATTAGCCAATAGCCAACAACATTGAATTTAATGTAGACATTCGATAGTGTGAACCGAATGAAAACAACATTATTCTGTTATCCATTCGTGAGCGAATGTTACAAACTAATACCTAATAAAAGAATATAAACACCTTTGTATTTCTAAGACCATAATTTCTTGTGTAACAGATTTTACCCTATCGTGGTCTCATAGCCATAATCACGATTATGAATTAATGACTTGAATCACTCCCCAACGAAAAAAATTCATGGGGAAAAGCAAAGGTATTCCATCATAACAGTAAGTCACTTACGGCAACTATTAAAGAACGCAGACCCACTCTACTTAATGCTTTAAAAAAGTGTTTTATAAATTACTACAAATAGCGTGGTAAACGCCATCTGTAGTAAACTGTTATCTTTAGTAGAATTTGAAAATGTTTGTTGAGACTGTCACTGTTATTCATTTGAATCTTATTGAACAGTTTTGAATTCCACTGCAGCTAGCAACATACAACAGATGTCGCTTACCACGCTATTTGTAGTAATTCATAAAATGCTGTGTTAATGCACTGGGTGAACTGATGCTTTTTTGAATCAGGTCCCAAGGCCTTCATTGGTTGGTGTTGGAGCGAAATGTTGGAGTCAATCAAGACGGTTTTTGCTGTTACTTTCTAAACGTTTCGCTCCAACTCTAACCAACGACGGCCTTTAGACCCGAAATAGGATACCGTCAATCCACATCACCCCACGGGCTTCCAAAGTGGGTCTGTGTTCTTACGGAACAGTGTACGACGTGCTAATGAAATACAATGGAATCGAAATCGTGATCCGCGTCCGACACAAACTACTAAGAATTCATTTGCTCTATTTGGTTATGTGCCATCACGTAGACCGTAGAGAATTCAAAATAATTTTGATTATAAAATTTGAATTAAAAATAAAAAAAATTACCTTAAATTTCGTTAAAAACTCTTGCTGTCTATTGATGTCTGTAGCCAAAATTAGCTCCCTTATTTGTTCTTCTAGTTCTTCCTTATAAGCTATTAACTGATCCAAGACTCCACTTTCTAATAGACAGCCAATTGCAGATCTCCAATGATGATTTTCCAGCACAGACATATTCTGCAAAAAATTATAAAATTACACAATTATATTTATTTGAAAATACTAAACAAATTACAAATTCGCAACTTTTCATTAAATTTTTAACAATTTAATAATGAAAATCCTAACACTTGTCTCAAAATTTGCAATGAATACAACGCAATATATGCGTACTGTAACTTATTATAAAAGGTAATAATAATTTCTTTGCTAAAATACATCGTACTTTTGGTAAAATTCAAAAATTAGCAAATTTTTAAACGCCTGGATTGTATTATTGATGAAGTTGAATTCGTATGCGTCATTTGTGACATCACTTGTAGGAAAAACCAATGAACACAATTGAAATGTAGATTGCCACACTACTGAACTTTATTAAATTATAGTCTTGTAAACACTTTTACTAAAATAAGTAATGTTTTAACAAATAAATAACTCAAAGCCATTACATTATTCGTAAAGAAAACTTTTTATCTCTAAATCTGATCACATATTTTATAACGTTAAATCAATGTTAGCTTTATTTAATGGTATCGCTCATAACGAGATTATATGTATACAAAAAATTATTTAAGTTAGCAATTACGAAAGCTTAAAAAAGTAATTAAAAAGAAAGATAATTAAATAAACTCATTCATATAATTTTGATTATCTTGACAACTGCTTTACTACGTCCATGATGTGTATGGTATTCATAATTATTGAATAAATATCTAGATAAATATATATCAAATTAATTTATATACATGTGACTTTAAAGGAATGATATGTAATTCTACGTAAGATTTCACGTACATATTTCTGAAGTAAAAAATCACATGATTAATAGTTGGATCGTTTACGCAAATAATTTGAAACAAATATGCATTAATAAAACGTTCAATTGAATATGCATGTGTCTGTTTATGCTTTATTTTTTATGTTAAAAGTAGAAACGGTAAAGTTTTTTGATCGTCTGCTGTTATTTCAAAATTATACATTCTTTTAGCTCATTTACTGTGCCATCATTTTATATTTTAACAGGGAATTAGTAGAGACATGCATTAGTGATAACCTCATAAGTAAAAAAATTAATCCAAACCTCTTATATAGTTTTATCAGTTTTAATTGATAAGTAGGTAGGTAAACAAGAAAAATATTAATCAAATGAACTAAGAAAATAATACACCTAAAACAAACACTTCAATCAACAGTTCACTAATGGTCAAAACGAAAACGAAAATTAAATTATACAATATTAAACATATTCAGCAATGAAAGGAATTAAGATTTCTCGTATTATCTGCTGGGTTCAGATACTGGTAAAATACATCCCAATAGTGCCCAGATACCGGATACAGGATACGGATACTTTTAGTTGCAAAATGAATAATGAATAGCTGTATTCGGATATTTTTTCTGGATAACGGATATGGATCCTGTTTGTATTACAATTTAATATCCATACTACGAGCTGGCTGAAAAAAGACTTCCACTCTATCTTCCGGCATAGTCAGAAAAGATTGTAGGCCAACCAGCCAAACACTTGAAAGTTTCTTTTTTCTTGTCTCCCACTGTGATATTACTATCTGTCAGATAGATTTACAGCAGGAATAATGAACTGTATACGTGAAAAGATACGGATTCTTTATGAACAATCTGGCAAATAAGGATAAGAGATATTTCTCAAAGGATTCGGATACAGCACAAGTAGTATCCGTAAGTCAAAGTATCCGGATACTACAAAACTCTGGTGTAAAATACTTTTCCGGTTCGAAATCTTAATATTTGCAAATGTTGGTTAGTTTATCGATGTTCGCTAACCAAATAGTGGGATATAAATATGTAAAAATATACAAGATATACATTCTTGACCGAACCTTTCTTTACATTCAGATTTAAATATCTATCGGTACCGCCCCATGTCTGGTGAAGGTGGTACAGTTCGCTAATATTAAATAAAATTATAAAATTACAACTTCAGGCAAAAATCGTTCCAAGCAATTTTCTTCCAGGTATGTTAAATTAGGGTTAGGTTACACTAGGTTAGTCTCTTTTTTAGCATTTGATCTTTTATCTTCACTTTTTCAAAGCTAAAAAAAAAAACGCTTTGGTCATGTACCAGTTGAAACACATTCCTAGGTTTGGTAGTTATCCGGCTGGATACCGGATACAAACCGTTTCATCTAGCTGATGAGGACATCTATAAATTACGTCACACGTATAGGGGAGCGAGGTCAATGAAATGTGACAACAGGGAGGTTATAATTTTTGTAACGTTACATGTCAAAATCTAAAATATTAATGCGAAATTTATACGTAAACACAAATCTTAAAATTATTATGAACTCGGTCTATATTTATAAGGTTTATGTCTGTTTAAGTCGTCGGCGAGTGCACGCTTTTATTTTAATTATTCCTAAATATAACATCGAAAAATATGTGACGTCACACCAGGTGGGGGTTCACATATGTGATCACCTTTTACAAGGACGGGGAGGAGGGGTTAAAAATCATAAAATCTGTGTGACATAATATGTGAACGGCCTCTAATGAGAAGGAATAAATGTAAAACTATGCGTGGAGAGGCATTTAATTAAAAATTTCTTCATACGAACGATGTCAAAATGAAGACCAAAATCGATGTGTTGTGATGTCCAAGTCGTCTCAATATTTACAACATAAATACAATTATCTTATCAGTTTGTACATGTAAATAATGTTGTGTCTATATTTAATTTCAAAGTGCAGACTTATTTCTATCGGATACGCATTTCTTTTTTCCGATCCAATATTTTAGCAGTTATCTAAGGTTTTTTTTTTCATCAGAACGATCGACGTCTGGTAGTTTTGATCAATAATTGACCAATAACTTGTTTTAAACATGTTTGATGTTTAAAGGCTGATTCACACATGTAGTCCGTATTCATACCGTGCTTCTTCGTTACACATCAAACATACATATATGTTTCAATCTGGTAGAATTTGGTGAACAGTTTTAATGTGGCAATCATTACGTTCGACTGTAGTGGTTATGATGGTATCTGTGTCCGTATCTACTTACCCATAATATTTTTGTTATTTTTTATTATTGATGGTTTTATATGTCTAATAACAATTTGCTTATTGATTAAATATTACTGATCATCTATAAACTGCCACCAGCAATTATTATGAGAGAGTATAGTACACGCATACAATAGGCAGGCCATATTTTTTGTATAAATAAAACATTTACTATCAAGTAAAAGGTAGAAGTAAAACCTTTTGCTACAATTCGTACTTATAACCTATAACTTGCAAGGAAATGCTTCGGATTAATAAAGTAAAAGGCACAAATTAGCCCCTATCGATTTCAACAAACTAGTTGAAAATAAAATGCATTGTGCAATCAACGTGTGCGTTGAAAGTTAGCAAATTTAAATTGGTTCGTACAATAACGCAAAAATATTATTATTTTCTGTACAGGTGACACGCCTGCTCCACGTGTTTCGGGATACGCGCCAACATTCTCCTTCTTCAAATTTAAATAACGTTTTAAAATCTGATTCTTGTGGTGTACATCTTGGTTTGTAGTATTTTCTTGTACGTAAATGCACCATATCAACCATAACAAGTACAACATTGGGACCACACAACTAAAGATTACTTATACAAGTCCTTTTAGACAGATTTTAAAACAAAAACAGTCCTACAAATACATAAATTTTTTCGTTAGAAGCTGTGATGCCAGGGCTGCTACTGAAAAGTTGAAACGAGCGAGAAAAGTTGTTGTGAACCTAGATTCCTTTTTTTAGAAGCAAATCCTTTACTTTTCGACCAGAAGCTTCTTTTTATAAATACAAATTATGTTAAGCCTTTTACTTTAAAGCAAACCCTCCAAGCAAAATCTTTTCCTTTGCTTCTTTTATTTTATTTTGGAAGCAAAATGTAAGGCTTCTTTTTATAAATACCATATAATTGTTAATATTATTATTGCGTCGTGACCCGAGACAAAGAAAAAAAAACTTACGTCATACAGAACAGCCAAATGATTTTGAGTTTGTATAAGGAAATTTTGGTTGACTCCAGGATGGTCCAAGTCGTGAGCCACCGCTCCAATAAGAGCTGCCATTATTTCAATAGGTTGCAGATGTTCTTTGATCTGTAACAAGTCAAAACGTTTGTAACGACAAAATTGCTACTTTATGCTTTTTAGAGTGACTTTTTCGTTATCATTTGAAAACTTATACAAATAAAAAAAAACATACAACGTGTAAGTAATTATACAACACGCTACTGAAGTGAAACTTCTTCAAACACACAAACATACCGGGGTAGGGGTTAAGGAATTGGTTTAATGGTATTATTTGTACACCATGCTTAGCACGGGTGCAATGCTGATGGTAAATAAACTATAGAATGTCTTTATATACAACAATCACAGCTTTTTTGTCATTAGACAATACAAATCGGCCGCAACCGCTATGTCCCTGCATTTTAAGTCTGTAATATCTTCGAAAATATTCATTTAAATTACATGCTGTAAAGGGCCGTATTGATCTATACTAAATGCACAATGTATTTAAAGTACTTATTGGATAAGGATTAATGCTGTATTGCTTAAAATCACTTCGTAAATAAGCCATACTTCTCATAAAAAGTAAAGGATAAAAAATTGTTATTTTGGGTTATTCCTAAGAGATAGACATATACCATCGCGGACTTTTTTGTAAACCTTTTTAAGGTGTACAATACTGTAGTATATTATTTTGATCTATCTCGTAGGGTTCAGCCAGCGTTTGCAATGTAAGCGCAAAAAAATGTGTTTATTTACGACATCACATTACAAACCACTAAAATTATCAGTGTTCCTCTACTACATTATGCATGTATTATGCATATAAACCTTCCTTTTGAATTACTCTATCAATTAAGAAAACCGCATTAAAATTCGTTGCGTAATTTTAAAGATCCCAGCATTAATAGGGACAGACAGCGGGGCAAATGAGTTTCATGATTTCGTTACATAGCAACTCGCATGAAACGAACTTACCCTACCGTGCGTAAAGAAGTTTCACTTCAAAAAATTAAACAACAAATATTATCGTATCGAATCGTACCTTGTTTTCCTGCAGGAAACAGTGCATTGCTTGAGTGACATCTGTGGCATGGATAGAGTTGTGATACGGATTCGTGTTGTGGTAGCCTTCTTCTATAAGAGCTAATGAGAAGAAAATTAAAATTTACGATGTGTTTTTAATAAGTCAGTTTTAAGTATATATGGCAACTATTATTTATGTATTTACTAGATATTACCGGCGGCTTCGCTCGCGTTGATGTCCTAAATACGTGTCAAGGATCATCGACGACTACATAAAACTAATTTTTTCTATCCCTCGGGAATAATGTTGTTTTTCTGGATCAAAGGTACGCTATGTCCTTTTTTGGTTGAGTACTTAAGGCGTGAAATCGACCACATAAAATTAATTTTTTTATCCCTCGAGAACATTATTATTTTTCTGGCTACAACGTATCCTATATCCTTTCCTGTATTCCTGACAATGTGTGTACAAATTTTTATGATGATTGGTTGAACAGTTAAGGCATGAAAACGTAACAAACAAACTTAATTTCGTATTTAGAATTTTAGTTAGGATTAAGTGGATCTAAAAGCAATCGTAAATTATCAATTCCAGTTGGGATAACTTGCTCCGAAAATATCATCGAAGTTAATGGAAGAAAACACCTGTTAAAAAATATTCTTCAAAAAACTGAATTTAAATATTTAAAAGATCTATTCTGAAACGTACGTATGCGTATAATGTTTTTCTAGATTCTCCATTTTTTAAAGTATTTTTGCAAAAGATATTAGAATAAAAACATAATAACTGCATCATAAATTATATGCGTGATTTTAGATTTGCACTTTTATAAACGTCTGTCAGGCATATAATGCTATGGATATTTTTAATCCTTCCAATATAAATTTTAATTTTAAATCCAAGAGACACAAAAATTTGGACAACAACTGCTTTAATATTAATTTGAAATCATTTTTTCTATTTTTTATTTACCCACTACAAACTACCTCAAATAATTGAGGGAAAAATTGTTGCTGTTGTCACACACCCCGGCGGGGGTAAATAAAAAATTGAAAAAATTATTTCAAATTAATATTGCATATTAATCCACTATTAAGTAACTAACAATGTCATAGGATTTCATATATTTAACAACTGTTTTGTTTGATGTTTTAATAAGATAATGTTTAATTTTCCTCGAAAGACATATTTTGGACACTGTTTTTTTCTTTACACTGCAAATTCAAGTGCGTTATTTCAACCCATAATAAGAGCGTAATTTTTAATAATTCACGAGATGTACGTTATTTTTATCTGTATAAAGTGTGTAATTTTCTTGACGCCCAACATAGGTGTCAAAACAACTCATTTATATGAATTGTATTTAATTTACACACATTATATGGGTTATTGAACGCATATGATCCGCGTTTCATATACGAGGGTGGATTGATAAGTTTCCGGCCTAACCAAGAGATGACGCCACTAGGCCTACCTTGAGGTGACATTCTATAGTACCATCCTTGGATAGCTTGTAGCTATAGTTTCAGCCCGATCTCCTTGCTAGNAAAAATCACCCTCCTTTCTCTCATCCGCTTAACTCTTCTACCATTACTACACTGTAAATTCAAGTGCGTTATTTCAACCCATAATAAGAGCGTAATTTTTAATAATTCACGAGATGTACGTTATTTTTATCTGTAAAAAGTGTGCAATATTGGTTATTCATAATTGATTGTTCATTTAAGGTTTCAACTTCGTCCGATGTGGTTCTAATGCACATCGTGGTGAAGCACCACGATTGATAACATTTACAAATGAAGATAATATTGCTGAGGCTTTTATTGCTGATGAAATTATCAGAGTGTCTATTTCTGATCCAAAAACCTGTACATCAGTCAGTGGATTGTTAGCTGCATACTATGTATGGCACAGAGAATTTCCTTCGGCTTATCAGGGTATACTTGACTATATAACCCATGAGGTGTATGAAACTCCATTAAAAAATAATTCAACAGTTGCAAAATAACGAAAACAATAAAAACGAAAGATTGAAAATTGCTTGAATAAACGAAATACCAAGGCTAATGAATTGATTTTTATACAAATCTACAATTCTTTTAAGTACTACTAATTTTATCTTATGAAGACTGAATAACGTTAATTATTCTTTTAAATTAATTTCAATGCATTATTTTTGGTTTGATAATTTATATTCAGTCAATTTCATACTTTCATGTTTTCAGTTCTATCTAAAAACCCAAGTGTAAAATTGAAAGAAATAAATGCTTATTTGAGGTTATATTTCATGCAGCTTCTCTAAAATTGATACATTAATAGCGCGTTATATTATTATGTTAATGCATCGATAATGTGTTTAAATAACGCACTTGTAGGGGTATTTTAACGTGGATGAAGTGCATTTTGAAATAATTCATATAAAAATGTGTAAAAAGTGACTACATCCAAATAACGCACTTAAGTGAGTTAAAATAGCGCATTTACATTTACAGTGTATTTGTACAACGTTTTGGCTGAGTTTACCTCCAGCCGTTCCTAAGCGTAATTTAGCGTCAGTGGGATTAAATCTAACTAACTTCAGCCTTTAAAAATTTAAATTGATTTCCTTAGAGGCGTATCAATCATCTTTTCCTGCTTTTCTATAATATTTTATAGAAAAACGCAACGTTCGGTCGACGACTGACTGATCGACAAACATACCGTAATTAAAATTTTAACGTTGCTACATTACGAAATTAAAGAAAAACGAATGAGCGAAGTATCCCCGTGACCTTTGTCCCAATCGCAACCGGAATACAAATTATATTTCGTTACGGTCCTGTTTAAAAAAGTATAAAATGTGTGTCAGTAGCCTTTTAACATGTTCGCAGAAAGTGTATAATTAGTACGACATTTCTTTCGACACAAAGCAATAATGTGGAACGACGTGTGGGCGACGAAAAAAACAACAATAATTCACATTTTACTGCCGGGTCGTTGTATAATATTTTGCGGTATCCGATGATTTACAAACTTTAAAAAAAGATCGTTAAGAAGTCAAAAATGAATTTAAATTGTCGGCATGCCAAGAAGATTATACGAACGAGGAGAACGAGAATCGAATCGACCAGAATTAGCGTGTTCACTGTTGAAAGAATGTATCTATGCTAATTAGACACAAATTACAGGATTACCACAATTCTTACGTAAGTTAATAGGAATTATAACGGACCGCTAAAATACAGAAATTAATAAATATGGAAAATAGAATAAAAAATTGCCAGTTTTTCAATTCTAATTTATTAATTAGGTGCTTTATACTACTATTACACTCTACAGGGAAGGCAAACAGTTCACCGAACATGAACATAAAAATTACACATTTCCTTGTCAGAATTTTGTTTATATAAAAAGATGACTGAAGGTTTTTGTACAAATCACCCTAAAGATATTATGTCGTTTCAAAAAATGATGCTACTCATTGATGATTAAAGAATAAATAAATAAATAGTTAAAACAATTCTGAAAACCACGTGTACACCGAGACATTCTTTTATCTTTACACGCTATACACGGGGAGAAAAAGTAGGGAAAGAGCGAATATAAAGATAGGAGACGAAAAATTAGAAGAATTGGCTAATTTTAGATATCTAGGAAGTCAGGACAAAGGAGTAGTAGGGACATAAAGCAGAGAATAGCGCAGGGTCCTGTCGCCTTTAATAAAAAGAAGTCACTTCTATGCTCGCGAACTGTTAATTTGGAAATTCGAAAAAGGTTGTTAAAGGTGTATGTTTGGAGCGCGGCGTTGTACGAGTGCGAAACATGGACAGTGGGCGCGGCGGAAAAGAAAATGTTAGAAGCTTTCGAAATGTGGTGTTACTGGCGACTGATGAGGATAACGTGGGTAGAAAAGGTTAGAAATGAAGAGGTATTAGAAAGAATAGGAGAACAGAGGACTCTATGGAAGTCAATAAGAAATAGGTTGGTAGGAAAGAGTGGAAGTGCGTGTCGAACCAGTCTTAGCACTGACGACCTTATGTTTTGTGATACAGTACAACTTCTACTTCAAAAGTCGAACCTCAATAAGTCGAAAACCTCCAAAACTCGAAAAAATGATTTGTTCCGTTCCCTTCAAGTCCCAAAACCTCCATTACTCGAAATCTCAACCCTTTATTAGTCGAAATAATCAGTGAGTCCCTACAAGCCATTTTCGTCCATATTTTCCTTCTATAACTCGAAAAATTAAATTGGACCTCTGTATCTCGAACATAACATTGTTTTATTTTAGAACTTTTACAACTCGATAATTTGAAACTTATTACGTCTATAGTTCCAAGAAAACTAAGTTATCGACTTTAAGGATTTGCCGTCAATGTAAGTACACCAAATCTTAACCTCTACAAATCGAATCAAAATTCTCCATAAGTCGAAAACTATAATACGAATTCTTTTAGCGTTTCCCTTGATGTTCGAGTTATAGAGTTTGTACCGTATTATGTTTTTGGGAACTCATGTTCTACTACCTTGATGGTTTGCGTTAAAAACGTTTCTTAAAAATGCCTCAAATTAGAGACGTAACGTTGGTGTTGGTTTTGTTACAAAAAATCTATTTGACCCCTGATCGGCTCTGATTTTATTTAATTTAAACAATTTGCATTATTCACTGCGAAATATAATTTTTTCATTAATGTGTTAATCAGTGGACATATCAAAATAAAACTAGATGAAACAAAAGATAAGTTTCGGCGGGTATCAAAGTTACAAACAAATTCTCTCTGCACTGCTAGATAAAGAATTTACATAAATATTAAAAAAATATAACAATCGCTTGTGATCGAAATTTTTTTTTTAAATCAAATAATATACTTTGAGAAAATACCACAAATGGCGCGGTAAACGCCATCTGTACTACGATGCTACATTTTAGGATTGCGTATGCTCCAACAAGGTCCATTTAAATATATGGATATCTACTTGCTGAAACGAATCCCGGCGTAGCTAACTTAAACGTGATAGGCACGTTACCACAATCGAATAAAATAATTTAATATACTTTGACTTATGAAACAATCACAAACATAAAATTGATAAAATCGGGACAATTGTACGTATTAGTTCCTAGGTTCAATTCCTGACCGATGTAATACTTTATTTATTTTTTACCTGTCTTAAAATGGTAGCATACACATTTTGATTACTTCCAATTATAATTTAAATGTAGTCAGAATGTTAAAAAAACAATTAACGTAATAAATGTCGAAAAACACGTTATCAGTGGCGTAAGTAGCAAGTTTTTTTTTATGTGGTCTCAAAATTAAAAAATGAAATTATCTAGTCATCAAGCGCTAAGTTATTAAAATATTATGGTATTTTGTATTTATATTCAAATGAGTACTTTAATTTATAGTTAAATTACCATCTTTTGGTGGCTTTATCTTTGACCTGAAAATACCCATATGATGGTCCGAAAAAACAAATTAAAATTAGAAATTTTTCCAATGCTGCAAAAACAACCGATTTTTGTTATGCAAAATTTGTCAAGATTGTTTTTAATGTAGAAATCTACATTTTATTTTCTATCATACAATCTAAAGATAATATAACTAACATTTTTTCCTCGTCATAAATTAATAATAGCCAACATTAATAACATTGCAATACACAAATGATTTGGATTGTTTATATTAATTAAACGATCGAACCCCGAATACCCTTAACCAGAATTTTTAAAGTAATTAATTCTAGGATTTGAAAAACCATAAGTAAGAGATGTAATGCTACTAATATATAAAATAAAATCCGGATTTACACTGTTTTAATCGTTTTTGCCCCGAGATTTCGACAATAAAATGCTTATTTCTAAGACTTTATAATAATTGATCTTATTAATAAACTAGTACAATTCATCTAAATTTAGAAGGAACAGCGTTCTACAGTTCTTTACTATGTCTTTTAATTGTAAAAAGATGTGAAAATTACTCGGCGCAAAATCTGGACTATATGGCGGATGGTCAAAATTGTGCTACAGTGCGATCGGGCATTGTCAAGATTGAAAACCACGTTGCACCGAGTAATTTTCGCCTCTACCGACATTTGAGGTAATAAATAGATGCACAATGCTTTTCCACTAACGAAGAACTTCAGAAAGCTGTAAAGACGTACCTAATCTCAGTGACCTTTATAGATAGCGAACTATTTTAGCAAAAAAGCGAAATGATTTAATACTTACTAAAAAGTTTCCATACGTGAACAACTTCCAGCTTGAAATGTTCGAAAAGACCGTACCAGTGAAAAAGATGAACACAAAGGACTGGCAGTGAACGACCACCGGCCACGGTCTCCAGAGTAAACGCGTTAAAAGCCCATAAACTAACTTTGTCTAAGATATGCTGAAACAAAAGAAACAGTGTGCTATTATTAAATTATATTACCTTTAACCCGGTTCAAAAAAATATAATAACGAACTAATAACTCTGTTTTAGTTTAATTTTAACATTTTTTTTGTCTATTTTATATTATTATATTGGAAATTACCCAATTCCAAAGAATGTTCTTTCAATTCAATCTTTTTATTATAATTTTCTCCTGATATCTGTACATACAGATCAAACAGCCTCTCAAAATTTCATCTAGAAATATGAATTGTTAAAAGTCGGTCAAACATTTCGAATATTTTTCATTTTAACACTGAGCGACATTTAATTATTCCCTCCTAATTATGTTCAAGGCTTTCACGATAGATGGCGCGAAGATGCAGTTTTCCGAAACAGATTTCCGCGGTCCTAGAACGGCATGTATCGACACACCACGTTGTGATTCGTATCGACAAGGTTCGGTGCAATTTGAAATTTTATGTAAATATTCTTTGGGTAGATACTCTATTAAATACCTACCTTTAGCAACATCTTATTCAAAAAATAGTTTAAACACGAAACTACAGTCCATTTCAATTTGTTAGAATTGTGACCTTGAAGAAATCTGCGCGAAGATAAAAAGAATACACACTAGGCGTAAGCAAGACAGAAATAGTTGGAACAAGCTGGAACGAGCAGAGCTCTCGGTGGGAACTGTACAGTACTAGACGAAAATGTTTAGCAATTTCTTAAAACAAAAATGTATATAATTTAACAATAGGAAACAAAGCAAAAGTTTTATAGGTGTGTAGAACGTTAAGTTAATTCACTTGTTATTATTTTTGGCTAAATATGCTTTTAAATAAAGCATATTCTTAAAATTTAACGAGGCAGTTTAAATGATTTTGCAAATGGTACTGTACACTTTTGCCTAGTTCTTGCTCGATGATCGGTGGAGAAATGAGCTCCGCAGACAAATATGATTGAATTTGGAATTATGCTACAGCGCATCCTAATAAAGGGATTTTCCACGACAGGACTGAGTTGAAACCGTTGAAATGACAAAATCATACAAAAACGTTATCCTGAATCAAAACCTGATATACCAACACCGAAGACGATTTATTTAATAACAAACTACTTTTATTAAAATATTTTATTTATGGGGGCAATAAACGATTGATTGGATTTGTTTTGTCGGTCAATCTGGTATTTCTATAATTAACTTTGTGATAAGATTGTGAATATATCATCCATTCCCCTATAAATAAAAAAAATTGTATTTGTTTACCTTTAAATGTGTATGATTGTTTGTAAATAACGGTACGCAAAAATGGGACACCACTTGTTTATTTCTTTCTTTTCGAATGCGTAAAAACGTACATTATCTTATCTAGCAGTTAATTCCACCTGCAATAAACAGCTCTATAACTGTCGTATGTATTGTAGGCATACATATGTATCAAGATCAAGAGAGACTTTTGGGAATTATTCCTAATTCAGTAAACAAAACTGGAAATGTATCTATTTATATTGGTTTTGTTGTTTTCGATATTTATCAAGGAATTTATTATTTATTAATATGTCAAGGGCGTCGATAGCTGTTTACATCTGCACAGATATAAATATATATGCAATATATTCAACAATAAAAATTAAACAGGGAGGTAGGAGGTGTGTGTGTGTACTTCGACATTCCCTCATACGAATTTTTAGATTATTTTGTCGAAAATTGACTCGAAAACACCAGCAAATATTTTTAATCGCTTCGCGGAATATCCCCCGGACCCAAAATTTTTGTAGGCCAACTTTTTTATTAATTTTCATATTGAATATTCTCACGAATTAAATAAAAAGCAGACGGTTCGTAATTAAATTGACGTGTTTTCCGGTTTCGATATTGAAAACGGTCCATTTCCCAGAGTTTTAGCAGGTAAAATATTCGCAGGTCACGTTAAAATGAAGCCACTCACGAAGTTTCAGACGAGTGTCAATAATTTAAAAAAAAAAAACGGTGAAAATTGTTGGAAATTTGCAAACTAAAAATTAAAATTTTTTGGTTTAGTGTTTAAACGACTTCTTAAACGGAACTTTATGTCATTGGTGCTGAGGGTGGCATTTAATGTATAGTCCGATAGAATTAAGCGTACGGCATGGCCTGGAGGTCTAGATCAGGGGTCGGCAAGCTTTTGAGTCGGAAGAGTCGAAAATTACAATTTACAAAATTTCGAAGTTTTTAAAGAGCCACAAAATTTTTTCTTGTCAACAATAAATGGTACTCGCATTTACATTATTATTTTTTGATAAAAAACTAATCTATTTATTCATAATAAGAATATCTATTTATTCTTAAGAAAAAATATCTATTTATATACAACACTAACTTGTACTTCAATAACAAACAATTGAATAAACAAATTCAATGGGAGCCATGGCTTTGCATGGTTATTCAAGTAGAAAATTTAAACTTTACTAAACAATGTAACTTGTAGTTAAAATAAAGAAAGGAATAATAACATACATTTGAGCAAACAAATTCAATGAGAGTGTTGGCTTTGCATAGTTTTAAAAAGTTTGGATAAATTTGGCTCATAACTTGTTGTTTTAAGTCTCAAACAAGACTCTAAATTTGTTAGTTGGCTTCTTACTTTACTTTTAATTATATTCATGCAAGGGCTTGCTCGCACGAATATGTCGATCCGAAGATAGTCAACACATCACATGCTAGCTTCTTCACCTCACTGTAACAATCTGGAAGACTATTGGGACGCGGTGAAAAGCGAGTACAAGTGGCTGAGAGATAGAATCAGTGCCTAATCCTCGTTAATCAATTCAGAACGATTTTTAAATGTTTTTTTTTTTGATAAAATAAATACTATTTTCATATGAAACTGAGCCGCAGCTTCACATCCAAAGGTTGCCGACCCCTGGTCTAGACCATTATTAGCATTCGGGAGGAGGCTGGTTCGATTCCAGGTGTGTCTGTTTTGGTCTAAGTTTTTCTGTGGTTACCTTGGATCATTTAGGCAAATGCTGGGGCTGTAATATTCCACAGATAAATCTCTCATTTCGTCCATCTCATCTTTCTCACTCGAATCACCACACACCCATTCCCACGATTTCTGAAAGGAGGCTGAAAACCACCAGCATCATTGGCTGCTGGGAATATAAACACCCAAAAGTTTTTTAAAGTTTTTTCTCTACTCTAGATATATACCGAATAGCTATAACAACTGAGTGTTTTACAACGGTCTTTTTTGAAGAGTAGCTTTTTATTGCTTCGAATTTAGCTTTCGCCAATCTTCCTAGAAAATTACTGCAAATTGGTACAAGTTTCTAAAACACGCTTTCTAAAGCAATTTCTAAGAAATCACCCCAAGTATCCAATTCTATACCGAGGGTATATCTACCCCTGGAACGGGATAATGTGGTTACTTACTTACTTACTTACTTACTTACTTACCTACCTACTTACGTACTTAACTACTTACTCGCATCGACTTGTCTTTTTACAAACTAAATCTTATTGTTCTCAAATCATTACAAAATCGTTCATTCCTTATCAAATTGTTTTACTCAATTATAATATCGGTTCAGAATATGCCATTTAGAATTAATTAGTGAATTAGTGAATAGCAATAGCCTTTAAACGTTTCAATAAAGATACGAGACAAAGCGTGGACTTATTTACGAGGTACTCCGATTTATGCCTTCTAAGTCTTAACCGCGAAAAAGGGGCCCTAAAAAAACTTTTTCCGAATAATTACTTATATGGACACGACAGGCGTAAAGATGAGCGGTGACCTCTAACCTGATGTTGAGAATTATCTTCAAGGTCATTTCAAGATAAACTGCATTCTTGAAATGCCATCAATACAGTAGAGGTCACCATTGCCTGCTTCTCTTTAATGTAATTGAAGAGATGATCGGCTAAATATCCTACCAGTTACAGATTAGAAGGTTGAAAATCGTGGACTACTTTGATTTAAAGCTCAGAAAGATTTATTTGAAGTGAAACTTCTTAATCAACGGTAAGAAGAAAATAAAACCGAAAATTGTATCGTCACGCGTCACAGTGTCACTCGTCACACGGCATAAGTGACCCCTGGTGGATATGTCCAAAAGGAGTAATTTTAACACTGTTAGTAGCAACCAATAATCCGACAATTGAAATTTCGGCAAATTGTCAGTAGATGGCGCCTACGCTGTACTGTATATGTATTGCATATGCGTTTGTGTTTGTTTTTATTTGTAATTCCTCTTTGCAGTTTTGTATGGTGCAAGTGTAACAGTATTTAACAAAACTAGATCAATATTCCGCATTCGTCTGCTCGAAATACAGTTGTATTTTTCTGGTGTTTAGTACTTAGTTAATGCAATTGGGATCCGTCAAATGGGAGGAGCTAAAAAAACATGGCCGACTTAAGGGAAAGTTTTAAACAGAAGATAGAGTTTTATGTGCAATTATATAATTATAAACATTATTTATTTGCGATAAGTATAAGTGCAATTTGCGATTGGGCTGGCACGAATTCTAAACAAAGAAACTTTGTTGAAGGAGAAAGGATTTTAAAAGCTGGTCGCATCATAAAATGTGGGAAAAATGATAATAAAAACAAACTAACTTTTTTTTAGATTTGGCACGCGGAGAAAACATTGCTGGCTCCATTATCAATAATGCAATAAATTGTTTTTAATATAGAAATTAGTAAAAATTTAACCATTTACTGTCAAATCACTACTGTATGCGTGTATATCTTTCCCTTAAGTTATTACGATGATTTACTACCAGGTGGCGCACCTCCATTTGACGGATCCCAATAGTTTAAGTAAAAAATACTACTATAATATACAATCTAAAGAAGTTTCACTTCTCGCGTGTGTACCCTGATACACGCTCGCCCCTTTTTTTGACCTCGTGCCCATGAGAATTTTTGATTAGAAATAAGTCGTAAAGAACGTTACACTCTAATTTTGCGATTTTGTATAAAGAGTTTCCGGAATCCTTTACTTCTATGATGGATCGTATTCGATCG